GAAAAGGGATTAAGAGATATTTAAAGAATTAATGGCTGAAAATTTCCCCCAAATTGATGTAAGACATTAATATAGGCATACATTGTTTTACTGCATGTCACTTTACTGTATTTTGCAAAATACTGCGGGGTTTTTTTTACAAATTGATGGTTTGTAGCAACCCTGTATTGAGTAAGTCTATTGGTATCTTTTTCCCCTTAGCACATGCCCATTTCAAGTCTCTGAAACAATTGCCAGAACTATTACATTCTGGCAATTTTTGCATTACCTCAAACTTTCTCATTATGTGCATTATTGTGATCTATAGATCATATTGTGATCTATGATCTGTGATCTATGCTGTTACTATTTTCTTCTGTTTTTAAAATGGACAAGAGTCAGCTCTGTCACCCAGGCTAGACCACAATCATAGCTCATGGCAGCCTCAAATTCCTTGGTTGGAGCAATCCTCCTGACTAAGCCTCTCAAAGTAGCTTGGGACTACAGATGTGCACCACCACACCAGGCTTTTTTTTTTTTTTTTTTTTTTAAAGACAGGGTCCCACTATGTTGCTCAGGCTGGTAATGTTAGATCTGTATTAGTTTAGGGCACTACAAACCATTCCCACATAAGATGGCAAATTTAATTGATAAATATTGTGTGTGTTCTGAATGCTCTGATTGACAATTCCCCTGTCTCTTCTCCTCAGGCTTCCCCCTTTCCTAAGATAAGACAATATTGAAATTTGGACAATTAATAACCCTTCAATGGCCTCTAAGTGTTCAAATGAAAGGAAGAGTTGCACATCTCTCACTTTAGATCAAAAGCTAGAAATGATTAAGCTTACTGAGAAAGTCAGTTGAAAGCCAACATAAGCCTCTTGTGCAAAACAGCCAAATTGTGAATGCAAAGAAAGGATCTTGAAGGACATTTAAAGTGCTACTCCACTGAACATACAAATGATAAGAACATGAAAGAGGCTCATTGTTTACATGGAGAAATTTTTAGTGGTCTAGATAGAATTGTAAACCAGTCACAACATTCTCTTAAACCAAAGCCTAATACAGAGTAAGGCTCTTACTAATTCTTTTTAAATCTATGAAGCATGAAAGAGGTGAGGAAGCTGCAGGAAAAAAGTTTGAAGCTAGCAGAGGTTGGTTCATGAGGATTAAAGAAAGAAATCATCTATATAACATACAAGTGAAAAATGAAGCAGCAAGTGTTGATACAGTAGCTGTAGCAAGTTAGCTACACCTAGCTAAAATAATGAAGACAGCTACACTAAATATCTTCTTTTTTTTAATGTAGTTTTTTTCTCTTTTTTTTTTGCAGTTTTCTGGCCAGGATTGGGTTTGAACCCGCCACGTCTGGCATATGGAGCCAGCATCCTACTCCTTTGAGCCACAGTCACCCCCTAAATAGATATCTTAATGAGACAAAACAGCCTTCCATTTGAAGAAGATGCCATTTAGGACTTTTATAGCTAGAGAGGAGAAGTCAATGCCTAGCTTCAAAGAACAGGCTGACTCTCTTATAAGGGGCTAATGCAGCAGATGACTTTAAGTTGAAGCCAATGCTGATTTACTTCAGACCTTTAAGAATTATGCTGTATCTATATGCCTGGGCTATATAAATAAAAAAAACAAAGCCAGCATCACAATGCATCTGTTTATAGCATGGTTTACTAAAATCTCTGGACCTGATGGCTTCACTGATGAATTCTACCAAACCTTTGAAGTAAAACTATTACCAATCTTTCTCTTTTCCAAAAAATTAAAGGAGAAACATATCTTAACTCAATCTATTCGACCAGCATTACCTTGATACCAAAGCTAAAGATACTACAAAACAAGCAGCTATAAACAAATATCCCTTACAAATATCAATGCAAAAATCCTTAACAAAACATTAGCAAGCCAAATTGAATCCTCCTTACAAAAGGATTATACATCATGATCAAGTGAGACTAATTGCTGAAACACAATAATTGTTTAACATACAAAAATTAATCAATGCAATACCCCATATTAACAAAATGAAGGAAAAAAGTCCCCATGATTATGTCAATGGATGTATAGAAATCATTAGACAATTCAACACCTCTTCACAATAACGTTCAATAAACTAGGACTACAAGGAGACTACCTTAAGATAATAAGCATACAAGAAAAATCCATGGCACAGGCAGCACCTGTGGCTCAGTGCATAGGGATCTGGCCCCATATACAGAGGGTAGTAGGTTCAAACCCAGCCCCAGCCAAACTGCAACAAAAAAATAACTGGGCGTTGTGGCAGGTACCTGTAGTCCCAGCTACTCGGGAGGCTGAGGCAAGAGAATCGCCTAAGCCCAGGAGTTGGAGGTTGCTGTGAGGTATGTGATACCACGGCACTCTACCAAAGGCGATAAAGTGAGACAAAGACCATGGCAAACCTCATACTTAATAGTGAAAGACTAAAAGCTTTTCTTCTAAGATCAGAAACAAGGCAACGATTCTCATTTCACCCCTTCTATTCAACATAGTACTGGAAATTCTATCCAGAACAATTAAACAAGAAAAAACACCCAAATTGGAATTAAGTATCCAAATCAAGAAAAAAGAAATAAAATTATCTCTCTTTGCAAATGGTATGATTTTATATGGAGAAAACCCTAATGATTCCGCATACAAAGAAACCATTAGAACTAATAAGTGAATTCAGCAAAGTAGCAGGTCAACACACAAAAATCAGTTATATTTCTATATAACTGATATAGAAATATATATCAGTTATAGTTCTATATAAAAGGTATATATAATAGTTATATATTTCTATATAAGTGATTTTTAATGAATTTAATTAACAGTCTGAAAAGAAAATTACAAAAACAATTCCATTTACATTAACATCATATTTAGGAATTAACAAAAGCAGCAAAAGATGGGTACACTAAAAGCTACAAAATTACTAAAAACAATTTTAAAAGGCATAAACAAATGGAAAGACATACGGTACAACCTTTGTGGACTGGAAGACTTAATATTATAAAATGTCAATACTGTCCAAAGCCATCTACAGATTCAAAAGCAGTCTCTATCAAAAGTTCAATGACACTTTTTTGCAGTAGAAAAATCCAACCTAAAATCCACATGGAATCTCAAAGGACCCTGAACAGCCCCAACAATCTTGAAAAAGAACAAAGCTGGAGAACCAAAACTTCCTACCGTCCTGATTTCAAAACTTACTAAAAGAGATCCCAGAAATAAATCCTTGTACATAGGGTCAAATAATTTTTGACAAGAGTTCCAAGATCATTCAATGGGAGAAAGACAGTCTTTCTAACTAATGGTGCTAGGAAAACTAGATATCCACCTGCAAAAGAATGAAGTTGTACTTTTACCTAACAACATATACAAAAAATAACTCAAAATGCATCAAAGAGCTAAATGTAAGTTAAGACCCAAAATAATAAAGCTTGGCTTGGTGCCTGTGATTCAAGTGGCGAAGGCGCCAGATACATACACCTAAGGTGGTGGGTTCGAATCCAGTCCGGGCCCGCCAAACAACAATGACAGCTGCAACCAAAAAACAGCCATTGTGGTGGGCGCCTGTGGTCCCAGCTACTTGGGAGGCTGAGGCAGGGGACTCGCTTGAGCCCAGGAGTTGGAGGTAGCTGTGATGCCACAGCACTCTACCCAGGGGGACAGCTTGAGGCTCTGTCTCAATAAAAATAATAATAAAAAAAAATAATAAAGCTCTAAGAAGAACAG